AAAGGTATTAATTCAGTAACCTGAAACCACGAGTTAGAACAAGAAGAACGACAACTACATACACAAACACTAGAATCAACTAATTTCTTAGGCTTAGTCCCATCAGTCCAATAATTTTTCATGCCAAGACATGTCAGACGTGCCATTATACCGGCTTAATTATGGTTTGAATACATTGGGTTTGGTAAGGTCAAATGGTACCAACAAAATGTAAGTATGCAAATAGGGAGAGTTCCGCGTCCCTATGTCGTATGTGGCTGAAAACAAAGACATACCAGACCGTAATATTGGCGTACCTCCGGTACATAAGTACGCAAATTATTGCGCCATAACATATAAGGGTGCTAAGGTTAAATTCATAAATAGAAAATGAGCACATGAATGGCAAAAACTCACTGATTATTAACCAAATTATCTGCCAAAGTGTCTTGTTATATAAACCATTAAAGTCTGTTTTATATGTGCCTGGTTTGTCAGGCTGGCCCACTTAAAGGGACGCCCAGCTTCATTAAAATTTCCTACACAAACTTTACATGATAATTGGGCCAGCTGGGATCTCACTTGACTCAAACAGGGCTCCCAGTCAGCCAGGCTGAAATTTGTCCATGTAAAGTCACCATTCTGGTCAGATAACTGGGCAAGTACAAACACCTCGTTTAAAATAAAATTATTTTAAATATAGAAATGGATATTATTTCTTGATAACCTCTTATTTCTTAAGTTAATCTTGTTGACGTAGTGGTTTTGAATTGAAAATTTGTCAAATAAAGCATGAATTTGACTTTAGTGAAAACCTTGCACTATTAACTCATAAACAAGTAAAGTTTTCCCAGCAAGCATGCTACATGCTAACATATTTTAGCCCGGCATATGCATCGCATCCCAGCATATGCATCGCATCCCAGCTAGCCTGGCTAATATAAAGGCTAGTTTGTTTAGAAATGATATATTTTTAAAATAAATGTTTTCTGCATTGCTCTTGTGGTTAGCACTTGGCATGTGGGCTGTACAGTGCTGCGCTGAGGGATTGCACATACTGACACTCACAGTTGCATTTTTTTGCAATGATTTTCAGAACTTTTTTCGCTCTCAAAAATCTGCCCAGGAAACTTCATTACACTGTAATGTTTTGTTTTGTTACTATTCTTGTCTTTAGGTGTCAGCTGAACTTCAGAGAATTATAATCAAGGAAAATATGTAAGTATTAAAATATCATATATGTTCTATGTAGTTAGATGTGGATAATGTACAGTTTTGTCTTGTGTTAGGTCAGATATATAGGCTGAAGTGGTTTTGAAAAACTGACGTTTTAGATATCTTTGAAAAGAAAATAGTTCCAACGAATTACGGATTATTAATTATATGTCATGTAAAAATAAACTTATAGAACATAAGAATAAACTTACAGAACATAAAAAATAAAACATAGCATAAATATAATATGATAGAACGAATATTTGTACAATCACAAATCACAATGTTGACGGGAACGGCCCGTCATAAATTACTTCGGCATAATTCCAAATCCAGTGTTTTAAAACATGTGTTTCCTGCAACTGTAACTCATTGTGATTAAATTAATGATATTATTCCTCTTTCTACCTTGTACACTTTGTCATGTCATTTGTACTACATACTGTATATAGTGGATCAGACGGGAGAATTTAGTTACAATATAGGACAATTATCACTTATTTACTGAGACCGAGGGAAACAGAGTTTTTTGTGGACCCGAGACCGTCGATGTTTCCCGAGGCGAAGCCGAGGGAAACATCGACGGTCGAGGGTCCACAAAACACACTGCTTTCCCGAGGTCTCAGTAAATAAGTGTTTTATTATATATCAATAGTCAAAGAAACAATAAATTAAAGAACAAATGAACGTAAATACATGAAATATTTTATTGTTAAAACGTTAAATTAAACACTACAGTTACTTAAAGCGAAGTTTAAATTACTAGGCATGTCCAAAGGTCGCACCTTCACGTGATGGCGCACGTGATTTTTTTTCGTTATTCGCCGGTCGATAACGTACTGTTTCCCTCTCCCGCTGTTGCGAGGGAGACAGTCTAATTTCGTCACTCTCACGTGATATGCTCTCGACCTATAAAACACTAGAAAAATGCGACTTTGACTATTGGTATATAATAATCCCCTTTGTCCTATAAATGAGCTTCAAAATGGCGTTAGTGTATATTTGTCAATAAAAAAACACGATGACTTTAAATCAAGATGAAACCCCTTCGGTAATAGACCGGGTTTATATATTTTGTAAAGTCTTGTTTATGGGACAACGCTCGGTAGACATCAAATCCATTGGATATCGATTTTCCATTGGATATCAATTGCGGTTTACCTCAAAATCATGTCGTAAATTATAATATACAGTATAAACGTTTTCCTTTTATTGGCCCCTCCCCTATGAAACCCCTCCTCCTGCACAATATAGTAATCTCATTCTACGTTCTGTTCAGATTTACTGTGGCAGCTCTTGTTACTTTATGTGTTTACTGCTTTCTACCGTATGATTGGCCAAATTTATAACCCCCTTTGTATTAAGTTCACGCCTCCAATAAGCCGCCACCTTGAATACTGTATGTCTACATGTAGGAGGGCTTAACAGGTTATTAATGGATTTTTGAAGGTTTTCTGCAGATGGAAATTATTAGTGTAAATTTTAGACATTTATTATTCCTAGCCAGGAATAGTTGCAAAAAATGGAACTATATGTCTCTGGCAGGAATCCAACCTGCGGCCCTGCGAATGCAATTTTGGTGCAG